GCAGGTGGAGCTGCGTATTGAACCGCGGTATCCTGTGCGTGACTGCATTGGCATGAGCAGGTGCTTAAACAACTGCACTAATGGGCAGGGCCCTAACTTAAAATTTTTTACGTGCTTAAGTTAATTTGGAGATAGAGTAGAGGAACATAGCCAAAAGCACTTAAAATGGGTTGAATATAGCAATGTTGAAAGAAATTTAAGCCAAGCTAAATTTGTAGAAATGTATTTCACACCACGATGGAAGCGTTGATAGATTCATGACGATATTGGTAGATTAATGCTCCAAAATGCTAACAAGAAAGTATGGGAAATAGTTCCTCCACAAAAATAGTTCCTCCACAAAAACACTCCCTGAGTTCACGCAGTCCGGGGAGATCACTTTGGATCTTTGGCTCTAGGCAAACACCTTCAGTGTCACGTGCAGTGGTTGATCAAGACAACTCTGACACATTTGCGTCAATGCGGACTTTCACACAGAGGCTACTCGTCCCCAGAATACAGTCCTCATACAAGTAGATTGGGAAGAGTTATTTGTGTTGTTCACCTCACTTGTCCCAAACTGTGCAAGAAAGACTTTGTCTCCAAAAATGAAAGTTGTGGTTTCAATCACCACTTGGCTGGTGCAGACGTTGGTCATTCACCTTGTGGAGCAATGAAGCTTGACAATGGCATGCAGTAAGGGACTTCAGGAAACAGAGCCACGTTCTTTTCTTTTCTTAGTAAATACAGGAATGTATTTTTAATGCTTTTATGTTTATATATAAAGAACTGTTTATCCAGTCACTTCTGGCTACCAATAGGGGAAGGGGAAGAGCAAATTGATGTCAGATGATGGGAAATGTTGCAAAAATTTAATTCTAAAAGGTGATAAGTGAATTAATGCAGCCTTTCTTGAGAAACAACAGCACTAACTGGAGAGAATGGATATCTTTTTCTAGCAAAAGTTTACAGTAAATTAAATAACTAAAAAACCAAAATATTGCACTGTATCAAAAGAAACCTATCACGAGTACTGTACAGTGCATTGCTAGGCAAGAAGTCCATGAACATAAGCTACACTGGACAAAACCAAACATCAAACTCACTTAAAGAAAACCTTTGTGTTAAAAATCTTCAGAAGGCTCAAGTATACTATATACAATTACACTCAGTTATAGTAGAAAAAATCAACAATAAATAAAGAAAAAGAATGGAAAATAACAAGAATAATCAATGAAACCTGATAACAAATTGACCAAACCCCCCTAGACTAATCCTTAGCTGATGAAAAGAAATAAAAGCAGGAAGGTACCAACAACTAAACTCAGAAATGAAAATAGGAAAAAAAAAAAAGAAAAGAAAACAGAGCAAAACTATGAATATTTTAGAAATAAAAGGGTGATGACAAGAGAGTGTCATAAACAATTATATACCCAAAATGATATAATCTAGAAAGAAATTTTCTAGAAAGACACAAATAGCCAAAATCACTCAAGGTGAAAAGAACAGCACGAAAAATGGCAACAAGTGACTATTCTAAATTTATAATCTAGAACTTCCAAGAAAGACAGATGAAGGACCCGGTGACTGTGCTGGTGAATTCTGTCACAATTTTTCTTTTTTGCAGAACCAGGAATTGAACTCAGAACCTTACACTTTCCAGGCAAGTGATTATTCTACTGAGCCATCTCCCCAGCCTCTTATAATTTTTCAAAAGAAATAAAAGCAATCATACTGTATATATTCCAAAATTATAACTGGAATGAATACTTCCTAATACACTGTCTGTGGACACTGAAAATAGAGTGAAATACAAATATAAAGTGAAAAAAATAACATAATACTAGGAAACCAGCTATAGTAGCACATAAAAGCATTAAACATCACAACTGATGTTACCAGATACTTGCTGGACACCAGTATCAAAATCCGTATCTGAGCAAATTCATTTGAAGTTATTATTCCCAGTAAGGCGCCTCCCTGCCGTGCACTTGCTCTTCCCACCAAGCATCTCTCCTACGCCACTCGGCCGTGTGCAATTTCCCACTCTGTCACTTACGGAAATCTTTCAAGGCCGATTTCCAGCTACAGGGATGCAGGAGGGTCATCTGGTAAGGCCAGTCTTCTGCTGCTCCCAAAGGTCGTGTGCAATTACGATGGTCATTTTCAAATGATGGCATGGTAGTTTGATATTTTGTACCTCATTGAGAAATTGTTTCTTAGTTCCTTACCCTGCATTCTATTCTACTTTGCTAGATTATTTTTATGTGAAGAAAATGGTCCATGCATTATAATTACACAACTTATTTAACTATATATATTCCAGGATTTTTGGTGCATTCTCTTTCACCTAATGAATACTTGAAGTGCTTTCCAAGCATTACTGACCCGACCATTTAAACCTCCCTAGGAAATACTGTATTACTAAATGGAACACAAAACACATAAGTAATAAAATAACAGAGCACATGTTAACAATTTACCTTCTTCATTTCTATGAGAAAACAATCAATGAAGTCCCGAGGATTGTTAACATCTAATGATTCTTTGTGTTCTTTTATTTTCTCCATAAAATAACTATTCATGAAATCCATATTTTTACAAAATATTTTATGACTCCCAGGGAGATAATCAATGAAAGCAGGGAAACTATTGTAGACCTACAGGAAAAGACATTAATTTATGAAATAAGAAACATATGGTGAAGACATATACAACGTGTTACCAACCTGATCAAAAAGTGCAGCTATAAATGTGAATTACAGGGCTGGAGAGTTAGCTCTACAGTCTAAGCACCTGCCTGGCACATGCAAGGACCTGGGTTTGATCCCTGGTACCACATGCCAAACCAGCCCCGGAGCCTGAAGTGTGCTTTTCCAGCCACCAAGACAGAGCATAATGTTACATGTTGTAATCCTTCTGCTGGGCAGGCTGAGTCAGGAGGATCATTATGAATTTGAGCTGTGTAGTGAGACCTTATAGCAAATAAGAAAGATTTTTAAAAAATGAGAATTAGACAGACATGCTGGTCATCCTGAGGGAAAAATGTTTATCAAAAGTACATAGTAGTTATGAATGTTGGTAATATGATGGTTTCTATGGTGCAGACAATGTATTTAGGATAAATAAATTTTTAATCAATTAATTCTATACCAATGAGTTTGTATCAGCTTGAAACATAAAAAGCCATAAATTTCTGCCATTCACAATTTATAGGTGACAGCAAAATTTAAATGAGTTCCTTTAATGTGATTTAGAACACTGAACTAGCACTTCAGGCTTTACTTCTTTCAACCAGATCAGACATGGCTTGGCGCGAGGCCAAAAGCCATTTGTACACAAAGGACTTAAGTGACTTCTCCAAACTCATGTCATTATTACTCATGCAGAGTGGAGACCAACATGCCAATTCAACGCAAAGTAGAACTGTGATGATTTTTCTGGCTCATTTACCATTAAATCAATCATTTTGTCATGCTTCACAGTGTTATCTTGTCAACTAGGATCCTACCAGCTGCATAAAGCATTCTTACTCCATTCAGTGATTCCTGGTAACTACTACTGTCCTAAATAGTTTTCCTACGTGAAGAGAACATTCTGTGCCTGAATTGAGAGAGTTCTGACAGGTTGTATAATCTCCAAGCACAGCTTTCTGGGTGGAAATTTTCAAAAAGTACCATGATGTCCTCTGAATGAGATTGTCATCCGTGAAACAGTGACCAAAGCACCTGAAAGCATCCGCTCTTAGTGATTTAATGGGAAAATCAAGGTTAAAGGAGGGATCAAGCTTGAAAGCCAGCCCTATATCTTGGCATTCATTTTCCTGAGTGGATATCAAAGGACCCACGTACATTTCGCAGGGAACATTATACAATGCTCTAGGCAGAGTAATAGTGTTTAAACAATCCCTTCACTGTAAGGTCCAAACAGAATTTCAGTTGCCAGAAAGAAGACCCTGTGTTTCCTCAGAAAGAATGGATTTTGGCCTCACCTGCATCCATGGACTGCTTAGAAGCTTGACATTTTCATTGATCCTTCTTGCCAGGGCAAGAAAATCCTGATTATTATAGTCAAAACGATTGTGGAAGATAATGGAGCAGATCACATTGCAGGGCGCACATCCCAGAATGAAAGTGGGATCACAGGGTGAGCCTAAACAATTGGAGACACTGTTTAATCACTATGAAAATATAATTGCCTTTTGTCAATAGGTGAACGATTCTTAGACAGCTTATGAACTACCTCATCTCCCCATTCCCCAACAGAGAAGTACTCAGCACACTTCAAATTAATATATTAACTTTACCTTAACCCTGAGTTGGCCATTATATCTAACCAGTTCAACAGAGCTTGGTGTAGCTGTTTCATGTCCACTGCCTTTACTCACACAATTTAATCCACCTGGGTGTTATATAGCAAAGAAGTTGAAGACTTTTTAGAAACCTTCTTCAAGTGTTCAGAGGAGAATCAAATCTATTTGCAAAGACTAGAATACAGCCTTGAGCTAACAGTGCTAGAATAGCGTGGACTTAGAAACTTTATATGCATAATGAATATGTGAATGACTTATGTACTTAATTAGTAGAGAGAAATTAAGGAGAATGATTGTAAGTTCACATATCTGAAGAAACACATGCGAAAGTCAGCGTATATTTATTTATTATTTTATTTTTGGTGGAACCAGGGATTGAACTCAGACTCTTGCTCTTGCCAGGGAAGTGCTTATTCTACTGAGCCATCTCCCTGGCCCCAGTCAGAGTATATTTATGCCATATTAAAAAGGTAATATGAAAACAATAAATAAGATGAAGCTTTATCTTTTCCAATAAATAAAATGACAACTCTTGATTTTAAATATAAATTGCTGGAAAAGCTAAGAAAAATATGAGTTTGATAAATGTCAAGATTTTCTCATTCTAATTTTAAAAATACATTTTTCTTCTTTTCAAGCAATGCCCATTATATCTAACAAATTGAAAAGTCAATTAATTTAGACAAAGTTGGTATTTTGGATTGCATAATATTATTGTACATTGCAATCCATAAAATATTGTGTTCATACATCTTGATCTTGTACATCGCTTCAGTGAATTGTGTCATATTACAGATAAAGAAATTAAATTATTAGTTGGGTTTCCTTGTGGGTGAGGTTTGAAGAGTAAGATGGCTAAAACAAAATATCAACCTAATTTTTGTGGACTAGGCTTACAAATTCACCTTGATAGACCCTAAAAGTATTCTGAATACGTATTAGAATGAGCCACAAGAAACCTGTTGAGTTAGCTGCTTGTGGATTCACTGCTAGCTTATCCTAAGCATTGCTGGGTCCCAACCTTTAGGAAATGATTTATTTGAGTCAAGGATGTGGAGGTAACTTCACAAGCCCTGATCATGTTTTTGTGTGTGCATGTCATTCTCATATAAAATTTGATTTTTCACCTTTTATTTTCACTACATTGGAGAAACAAAACTTTAACACAAGTTCATTAAAAAATATATGATGAAAATTCATCCCAACAAAGACTTCATAGATTCTTATCAAAATACATGCAAGGAAATTTACATAAAAATTACTAACTATGTTTAAAATACAACTATATAAATCATTTTAATAAATTTCTCTTTATATATTTTTGCAGACTTATGCCATTTTTCTCAACCCATATAAAGCAACACACTATTACATGAGAAGAAATAATTAAGGATGAGTTACTGAGTTGAGCAGGACAGGAGGGAGTACAGGAAAGAGATTTATCTATGTATGTCAGCAGGATGGCTTGAACAAGTATACTATGCATTTCTGCTGGTTTATGGAAAGGAGCACATAATACTTAATTCGTTTTGTCTCCTTTTTTCAATTGTTTGTACTTTTTTTGGTCCTAATTTCTTATGTATTTCTTCCAATTCTACATTCATGTATCTGGTGATATGAATAACTGGTTGGAAGGCAACACTATGTATTACAACAAATACTTTGAAACTTATAATACTTTTTAAGTGAAAATCTGCAACATTTGTAACTTTTTCTGTTTTAATTCTAATTTGTACTCCCTTAACAAAGAAATAATTAAGGACAATATTTTCAAAAGTTGTGTTCAATTTAGAAGAAATAAGTGTTTATAATTCTTTTTTTTTCCTGTATTTATGGCAGGATCTACAAGGGCTACAGTGTCTCACTATGTAGATTGGATTCATAGTGATTCTCCTGTTTTCAGGTTCCTAAGAGCTGGGATTACAGGCGCATGCCACCATGCCTGGTCTCAATTGCTGACTCCACATGCCCCCCAGGTGGGGCCTGCATGGCACTAGAATTCTAGTAAGATCTAAAAAACATAAAAGCATGTATTACAAAATATCTAAGATAGTTGCATTACTAATCTCTCTTAGTCCACTGAATGGAACAGTTAAAGCTTATATAGTTGGATGAATTTTGACTGCCCATATCTGGTAATCTGAGGAACTGCTCTGAAGATAACAATGTGCAACAAAATGACATTGTTAATTTCCTATCATCTTGTTTTGAAAATCTATATTATTTTAATTGATTTTTTATACTCTTTTAAAAAAGAATGAAGAAAAGCATGTCTCATACTATTATTAGCCAGCATTATATTGATGTGTCAAGAAGAAATCTGGAAATATGTCAACAACACTGATCATACAAATAGCGTCCAGTAAATAGTGTTCAACTAACTGCAAGCAGATGTCACTTTGGGCTCTCTAAATGTGTTGTGGGGTCATTTCTTTGGTGTTCAGTAAAGTGCCCTAATGAAATGATCCAGAATAGATTAATCATGCTTATGGTGTGGGAAAAACACTGCTCCCTAACTCAGGAAAGACATGCCAAAACTACGTTAATGAATTCCAATTTGAAAACAAAATGCAACTTTGAACTCCTATGGGATTAATAGATACTGTGAGGATAGTCATGCCTTCCATAGCTCTCTGCTCCAACCACCACTTGTCCTCCTGAGGTTTCCCAGGCAAGACAGAACCCACACTCTGACTGCCCTCTGAAATGTTTCCAGGACCTCACTAGAGGGAGGTTAGCACCTATGTAAACCAATCATACGTCCCTCACCACGGGTTGCTCTCAGCTCCTCCACTAGGTAGTGGGCTTCCTCTTGAATACGGCTCTCAATGCTCCTTTTGCCCATCCCAAAGTTCCGCAGGGTCATGAGGGCAAAACGCCGAGTATCTTTCCATATGTTTCCATTGCTAAAAATGATTCCTATAAGGGAAGGAGGGACAAAAGCCACATATATTCAAGAAAAGGAGCTGACACACAGCACCCATGCAGTTGGGTAAGCTCTGCTTGAGGGCCTCTTCCACACTTTACCTCCACCTTCTTCATCCCACCATCACTGCCCAAAACTTAAATGTCCACACATGAACATGTACACCTACCATGACCTTTATTAATTTTTTCAGCTATTGGGAAACTCCCTCTTCCAGAAAAGTCTTCCCCAAGATCAATCAGGGCTTCCTTCACTGCTTCGTATCCATGTAGGACCACAGTGGGCTTCATGCCCAAATGCAGGGTGAACACAGGGCCATAGACCTTGGAGAACTGAGTGTGAGAAAGCAATAAAGGGCTAATTAAAATATAAATAGGAAGCTAGATAGGAGACAGATCTTTATCAAATGGGAAGCAGATCAAGAAATGGAGAAAAGACAGAGGTATGGGAGAAGGGGTGGAAAAGAAACCTAAGAGGTGTTAAGTACATATACCTACTTCTCACAAAATATGTAACCATTATGTGCTGTGAACATGTGCAAATAAAAAAGAAAATGCAAATATTCCTGAAATAGAACAATCTGATCTACAAATTTTGATTGCTTCAGATGGCTACTCAAATTCTACTTGCTATATTTTTATTCTATGCTTAACTCAGTCATTTCTGAATTTTATCACAATCAAGATGATAATTTTCATAGCCTTTACTGATGGATCTCTTATTCAACTATTTACTATTACATAGATATTTCTTTCTTTCTTTCTTTTTTTTTTTGGTGGAACCGGGGATTGAACTCAGGCCCTTGCACTTGCCAGGGAAGCGCTTATTCCACTGAACCAACTCCCCAGCCCCCTACATAGATATTTTTTGATATCTGATTTAATATGATTCTCCAAAGAACACTAATTTTCATGGGATTTCTGAACAAAACCTACATATCAGTGAAGGTGAACATATTTGACAGCAAATGACAAAGTGCAACCCAAGATCCACTTATTTCTCATGAGGTCCTAACACTGCCATTAAACCCTAGAACTGAGGTTTTACTTCACAGACAGCAACTCGTACAATTTGTGACATTGTTGCAGAGAGGACTCTGCGTGGTGCTGTAGTGTGCACTCCATGGGCCAACCATCAAGGCTTTCGGTCATGCTACAGATAACTTCTTGAGAAATATCTCTTATTACAAAAATAATAATTATGATACAACATCAGGAAATAAATAATCACAGACAATTACTATCAAACAATGAAGTGCTTAAGCATCATAGAATTTTACCATTTTATTATTTTTAGTGTAACTTATGAGAGTTGAAATATTTTCATGTCTGCATCTTGTACTGTGAATAACTACTACAAAGACAACAATATGCAATGTATTAATTATTGTCACTGTCTTACTGACCTGTTTTGAAACTGTCTCATTGTTATTTCTTTCTCAAAATTAATTAAAAATTTTTTAAAAAGAAATGTTTCCCTTAATGCAAATACATTACATTATATGACTATTGGAACATTGACTAACTTTAAAAAGGAAGGAAAAAGTCAAACTTCATAGAAAGTAGTTATTAGATAGTAATATCTTCTAATAATTTTTTTTGTATTTTAGGGAAGGGTCTACAGGGTGTTCAGGGTCTCACTGCTAGATCAGACTCTTAGTGATCCGCCTGTTTACAGCTTCCCAAGTGCTGGGATTTCAGGCGTGCGCCACCACACCCAGTCTCAATCGTCATCTCAGTGCGCCCCAGGGGTGGGGCTGGCACGGCAGGCCCGGGGATCAAATACTTGGCCCCTGTGCCTGCTTACAGGTGCTTTAATCTGCTGAGCTATTTGGCTAAGCCTCTCTTCTAATAATTTGATCCAGGAACATATTTGACTTAAAAATGAAGGTTGATTTACTTACCATTTGCAAGGTATTAGAAGACCCTAAAACATACTCACATCGGTTAAAGACTTGGTGATATTTTTAACATCTATCTGCAGGATGTTTCCAATGAGTGGGAGAGGAGTGGGCCCCGGAGGGAGCTTTCCTCTCCCAGAGCTCTGTCTCCAGAATGAGAGGAGAAGCAGACAGGAGACACCAAGCACCAGGATCACCACGGCGTCCATCAGAGCTTCTGTCCTTACTGAGTCCAGGGCGATCCAAGGCTTTCATGTGCTCACCGCTGATCTATGGTGTCCTTCAGTCACGTGCATGACAAGCCAGCCAGGAAATGAGCTGCAATCATTGTTTACACTGTACTTTGGCCACTTGATAAAGAAAAATGTTCATTATTCTTGCCCTTTATACTAAATCCTTATCATTTGCATCTTAGTACATCTATTCAAGATAAATATAGAAACTACAAATTAAAAAAATAAGCAGTAGATGGCAGGTGGTGCTAATGGACAGCCAAGATTAAGAAACAACAAGCAAAATTACGTTATGTTTCTGTCTCGTGATGTAGTTAAGGCTGATCTTGAAGTCACTGTGTAGCCCAGGCTGGCCTCAAACTTGCTGCGATCCTCCTGGATCAGCTTCCAGAGTGCTGGGATTGCAGACATGTGCCACCCCTAATAATTGCTAATAATTACTTGACTTAAAACATTGCTTAATATTATAGATTCTCATATGAATGACCAGTGGATGCCCAGGACTTTGGGGAAAGCAATATATTCTGATTTGCACATATTTAAATTGTGTGACTTAACCAGACACTAGGATAATTTCTCATTGAAAATAGCAATGTTTTAAAAATTTCAAAGTACCAAAGTAATATGACTCTCAGGATATGAAACAGCAAGTGTTGGTCGTGAACTTAGAGGACCAGTCAGAGGTCAGCTAACTAACAAAATGCACACACACGGCCTTTAAAGTTCAAACACCTAAAACACGCAAGTGCTAAAGCTTATTTTCTTTGTCAAATGAGGCAAGGGAGAATAGGGGAGAGCAGGGAACGTGCCACACAGACCACAGGTGGCAAAGCTGGGATTAGAACGAGCTTTTGGTGTGCTCATCATAGTGCAGTGGTTGAGTCTACAGTTGTCTCACAAGTCAAGCTAAAGAACTAAACACAATCCCAAAATACTTATTCTGAATGCGTACACCACCAAGTCTCCTCATAGAGTATCATGCTTTTCATTAAACTAATGATCAGTATTTCATCTGAAGGAGATCTGGCCTATACATTCCATAAAAGAAATATACACAGCTGAAAGTTTTACCTCTTCATCAATAAGAGGCAAAATTTGTCCATAACAAACAAGGAAAGAGCCTAACTCAGAGACTGAATGGGAAGAAGGTCTTGAGCAACTTGGCTCCTCCCATGCTGTCCCTTAGCCTCTTCGTGATAGGTTGTTCCACTTGCTTTCTGTCCATCCTTGTGAGAAATAACAGAATGAAATGTTGGACCACAATGGAACAAGAGCAGTCACAGAACAGCACACATGTAATTCAAAAGTGGGTAGCAGCCTGGGACTACATTGAAGAGATTTCCAGCTCAGAGAGACACGGTATAAAAATCTTCATGGGCTCTGTATTTTGGTACACATCTGTCCATGTGTAAGTGGGTTGATGTACGCTTCACAATGCTTTTACAATGATGTGTCTTGCCAAGACATCATTGTACTTGTTTTAAATTTGTGAGCTCATGAATGAAGCTTTCTTCATAATGAAAATTTATTTTGTGTCAAAATCCCAGATATATGAATTTCTCATATTTACTGAGATTCTGTAAATTGACAAATAATTTTCATATTTATCATGTCACTTTTATTTCTCTCCACTACCTTTGAACAAGGTAAAAACTATTCCATTTTTGGTATGAGAGAGCTAGGCCTCAGAGATCCAGCTTCTTGGCCAAACACATGCAATGGGAGGGCACAGGATGTAACAAAGGATTAAGATGATTTATTATATATACCTACTTTGCACAATTAATGCAAATATTATATATTATAATCATGAACTAACAAAAATACAAAATAGGAAAACAAAACCACCACCAACAACAAAAAATGTGGACTGCAGAAGGTAGAGCTGAGGCTGGAAACATAAGCACAAATCTCACAGGCTTATGTCTAATGAAAATTCTAAGTTCAAGAAGGTCCGGGGCTTACTGTGCATAACTGTTTTACAGTATGTCAGGATCATGTTAATTAATGACTTTCAAATCAAACATTCATTTAACTGTTGCAGCATTGGCTGTTTAAAATGAAGGCTAGGAACATAAATTTTAACTGTTAGAACTTGCATAAAGAACTCTGAACTCTTTTCAGGAAAAGAAGGGAAACTTTTCACATGACTCATAGTATTCTTAACTGAAAATGAACCAAAGCAGACTTTGAGTATGAATAAAACCACATTCTATTTGCCATAAAATAAACTTGATGAAGCTTTTCACATTTTATTCTCTTTAATTCTATTAATCAGCCTGCCTTGCCCTTTCTCTTGTTATCTGATGAGACAGTCTGAATGTACAAAATATTAATAAGGATTCAGAAAAACAATAATAAAGAGATTGTTTCTAGCAGTAAATATCTGCACAGGTTTTTTAAATTTTGTGCAGGGTCTCACTAGGCAGCTCAAACTTGTGATCCTCCTGCTTTCAGCCCCCCAAGGTGGGGACCACCATACCCATTCTCAGTGGACAGCTCAGCATGCCTGGGGGTGGGGCTGGCATGGCATGTGGTGCCAGGGATAGAACCCTGGCCCTTGCAATTGTCTAAGCAGGTGCTTAGTATGCTGAGTTATCTTGTCAGCCCTCTCTGCATAAACATCCTAAAGCGTTCAAGTAACTAAACCAAAGATGCTTTCCAAGGACCTATTATAGGTACAACAAAGGAAAAGCAACAGCGAAAGAAGGAAACAATAACAAAAATTAAAAGAGAAAGAAATGAAATAAAAAAATTTAAATGTAAAATGTAAAAAAGAGTTTTTTAGTCTCTACATATAATGGTTAACTTATAAGGTCTTATAAGGTGAAAAAATGAATGTGATGCCGAAAAGTTTAAATGGGTAGGATGAACAAAAAAGAATTCAAATGAGTTATGTGTGTTCCCTAAAATAAATGTAATTAGGCACTACAAACATATATTAATAAAAGTGAAAAGTGAGTTATATTTGAAATAATAAAAGAAAGAAAACTTTGAAGGGACATCAAAGTGACAGAGTTGTAAGTACAAGAGACAGAGCTTCTCTGGGAGTTGCCATCCACACAGCGCAATCTGACAACTCATGGAACCCTAGAAGGAAGGAGGTGGGTCCCCTGAACCCAGGAAATATCTAAAGAAAAACTGAAGCCCTCAGAAAGGGTGAAGAAGAAAGCGGTAGCTTGCTCCACCTTCTCCCTGAAAAAGGACTCACTGCATGAGAGGAACAATTTGAACCTGCAGACACATGATGCCTGCTTGTGACCCCAGAAGCCTCCACAGAGGGACACAGTAGTAGAGCAGAACAGTGGAATGAAGGACTGAAGTAGCTGGTGGTGAGTGCTGAGGGCTTAGTCCTCCCATGGAAGGGAGCAATCAGCTGGGAAACACTTTGGATCAAGCAGATATCCAGGAGAATAAATGTTCTGTTGAAAATATCTATAGCAGAGTAAGCCATTGTGAAGACAGGAATTGTGATACAGAAGACAGGCTTGCATAGAAAGCATGACCATGCACGGAAAGCTTCCATAAAAATAGCAAGGGACCATGAGAAATCAATACAGCAGCTGCTAGATGAGGCAAAGAGGACGAACTTAAGATTGATTGGACTCTAAGAGAATGAAATAGCACAAATGATATTTTTTAAAAACCTGTTTACAGATAAGAGGGGTGTAAATTTCTGTGGCAAAGAAAAAGAATTTGACATGCAGTTAAGTGAGGCATACAATTAGCCAAGTTCAAAACAATCCACAGCCAGGCATATCATACTCAGTATTCCCAAAATCCAACATGAGAATACAATCATAAAATCTGTTAGGGGAAGGAAAAAAGCACCTGTAAATGAAAGGTCAACAGAATCACAGCTGACTTCTCAGCACAAACCCTGATGTGAAGGAGAGCTGGAAGTGAAGTATTGCAGGCCCTAAAAAGCAACTGTGACCCATATTGATATACCCCTCTAAATATCTTTCAAAACTGGTGGATGCATGAGAGGCATTCTCCAATATAGACCATACACTAGCTCATGGAACATGCTTAAGGAAACGCAAAGAAACGAAATTATGCCATGCATATTATCAGATGACACTGAAATGAAATCTGAAATCAATGGCAAAAGAAGCCATAAGAAATTTGTAAACATAAAGAAATTAAATAACACACTTCTATTGGGTCACAGAAGAAATTAGGCAGTTTCTAAAATTAAACAGTAACTCTGATACAACATTACAAAATTTATTGGACAGAATGAAAGCAGTCCTAAGAGGAAAAATTATACAACAAATACCCATATCTGGAAAACAGAGCAAGTACCAGTAAACAACTTAATGTTGAACTCCAAACTTCTAGAAAAAGTAGAGAAGACTAAGCCAAAACTCAGTCGAGGGAGCAAATTAATGCACTGGAGACTAAAAAAGTGAAAGAGAATCATTAAATTAAAGAATTACTTCTTTGAGAAAGGAAATAAAACAGAGATAACCTTGGATTATCTCATTAACAAAATAAAGACTCAAACCCAAGTCATTGGGAATGCAAAGGGTGAAATCCCAGCCGACCATGAAGAAATTCCAGATCATCTCTATCTACTTTAAGAACTTGTGTTCCAATAAGATGAGAAATACAGAAGAAATTAACAGATTTATAAATACACAAGAATTGTCCTTGGGAGTGAAACTTCTGCCGAGCTCTCCAGACCCTCCCACCCTCCAGAACCAGCCCGAGCCGACTTGTGAGTGAGAACATTCGCCATGCTCTCTGCACCCCGCCAGACTCACCCAAGCCCACGCTCGACGAGTGTGTGGGAGAGCTTCTGCGCATTCCTGTGCCCTGAGAATCCTCCAGATCCAGCCCAAGCCTGACATACAGGCCTGGGGTGAAACTCTGCAGCCGAAGTCCCTGCAGAGAGACTAGGGGCCAAAACCACACAGCTAACCCAATAGCAGAACATCTCTCCAGAAGGGCATGACAAGTTCACCTCCAAGGGCTGAGCAGGAAGGAATTGATCACAGTAGCCAGACCCAAGCCAG